GAAACCCAGCACAAGCTAATGGACAAAAACAATGCCATTATCATCAATGTGCTGAATGCAGTAGAATGAAGATGATGTAGCTTAAACATTCCCTTCCTTACTTGAGATGGTCTTGTCTTTGTGATATTAAAGTTCTTTCGTTCCGTCTACTGTTACCCAGTCAGTTGTGGAAATTTATTAACTATTTATAGCCTCTAATTTACTTATATGAATACATTTTAAACAAAGACTAATGGGAATAAAAGCCACACCAGTTCCCAAAAGACCATGCTTCTTGGCACCTTCCACATTAATTGCTTAAAAACTCTTGAGGAATAAATAAAGGATTTTTTTTTTAGAAATTGTTCTCTATAGTGTTTAAAAAAGAATAATGGAGACAGAATTCCATCCAAAAGGGATCCAGAATGGGGACCATAGCACCATACCCATAACCAACAAAGCTGAATTATGGAAGAACGGGCAGCAAGTTATATGGGCAGCAGCACATTACTGGTATTATGTACAGTGTGAGAGGACCATCACTGAAAAAGAAACTGAAATTGGATGCAATTTTACAACACTGCAAAGCTTACTGGTGAGATTGCTTCTAAGAAATTAAATTCTTCACAGTAATTACATAACAGTGTCTGAAATGTACAATCCATAAGCAAATATTCGTATGAATGATCTAATGAAATTATACATTAAAAGATACAGTAAAATAAAAATAAGCATAATACGATTTGTTTTTTGTTATAGGATATCCTCAGCAAAAAAAAAAAAAAAAAAAAAAAAAAAAGGAGAAGCATGAGAGACTGAAGCTGGAATTTGCCTTTGTCTCCAAAAAGAAAAAATATCCATTAAGACATATAGTTTCCTAAATCGATTTTTAGTCTGAAACTTCTGTTCTATTACTGGGATTCTCTACTTCAGTAACAGTTTCAGATGTGATTTGTAGACATGGTCAGAAAAGTCCTGTTGTGAATGAAATAGTGGGACACAGCAAAGGAGATCTATCAAAAATGTGTAAAATTCCAACCTTTGGCCAACACATTATGAGATCATTAAATCTGAATATTTAAAGGCATTTTTCTACACTTTTTAAAACCAGCCATCTTATTTTGTTAATATATTTGGTTTTCCTATTTAAAACCAATAAGAGAATTTTACATTGATTTTGAATGTCAATTGTTAATAGTTTAACACAATTTAAATTGATTGCTATTTTGAAATAGCAATGGAGTAGTAAAAGATAGCACATTTATTTCCCTGTCCTTAGACTGTCATAATCATTGTGCTTGGTGAACCTTTTGTTTTATTTTCCTACCAGTTACTTTGTGATGTAGTAGTTCTGGCTGTTCTTCATCACAAGTATCTGATTTTGGTCTCCATCATGACAACTGTAATGCAGCCTTTGGGGACTGCTTTTAACAAACAAGCCAGTAGTTGACTGGAAGAGAAATGGGGCTCTTCTGGAAACGAATCCATAATCTTGTACTCCTGTTAGTAGTGGTAATAGTTATCAAGCCATCCTTCCACTTCAGATCACTAGAAAGATAATCGAATTAGTGGGTGATCATGGAGGAAAAGCCACCAATGAGAGCACACAGGGCTACCCAAATGTTTTGCTTTTTTCATACAGGCCTGTTGGCTTTTATAGTCTCATCTTCCCAAAGCATCTATGTTCCCAATGTTCAGTGATTTTCCTACCTGAGCTGGGAAAGACTGCAAACTAGTTTTATGAAGTCTCACCCAAAATTGGCGTTTAGTTTAAGCTTCTTAGAAAGTCAAACTGGACTGTAATTCCTGAGTCTGTAAGAATCTTTGGTCTGAGAAAAAATTCATCCCTGTCTCTAAATCATGGTTGGGTTTCTATCACGGTCAGCTAGGACTGAGGCCTGCTAGTTTAAGAAAGAGTCCCACTAACTCTTCTGATGAAAGGTTATAGCACTAAATGACACTGTGTAACGACAACAGGCAGAATCGAACCAGGTGATCTGTGTCCAATGGGAGCGGCGAGCAGCCATACCTAGCAATGCGCAGGTAAATAAAGCATCTGGTGGCCCTGCAGGGGCTAACCTTGGTGAACTGTGCCCAGCCTGCATGCTGCTTATTGCCCACTCCATTTTGAACTATGAAATATAAGGTTTAATATTTCTTACAAAGTCTGTTAACATTAACTGTTATAACTCTGGATATGCTTATTATCTATAAAAATGCCCTGTCACTTTGTCTCTTTCTCGGGTTTTTGCCTCAATGATATCTTATGGCAATGCATTCCATCACTTAATTAGGTATTAAGTGAATAAGTATTTCTGAATGAGGACTTTGGCATTTGTACATTGCACTCTATGCAACAAATCTCCAAGTTGAGTTAAAGTGCAAATGTTTTTAGTTTTGATTGAATGATTGATAAAAAAACTGTTTTATTGTATTTGTAATTTATTTTGTCAATAAATATGTGTATGTATTTTTATTATATATTTTCTTGATATGGACAGCTTGAGGCAGGACAACTAAAGTACAGTTATGGTCAGAAAAGTGATTATGTACAGTAAATTTCTCCTCAGTGAATTTATTTTGAATAGCTGTAATTTTCACTAAAAACAATTCATGGGCATTAAACTACAATATTACCTTTATAGATATTTCCAGAACACCCAGTCATCAGTAACTAGTCTCTTCTTAACTTTCGGATGAAAATAGGTTTTTCCTGCCTTTGGCTCCTGTCTGCCATGCAGAACAGCAACACACCAGAAAGAGTGAGCTGGATTCTGTTCTGGCATGTACATCATGTAAAACATCTACTTCATCTGAAGAAGTGGGTTGTGCCCACGAAAGCTCATGATACCTTGTATGTTTTATGTTAGTCTCTAAGGTGCTGCAGGACTATTTGTTGTTTTTTAAATCTAAAGCAGAATTTATCAAAGTTTTCTGCCAGCCTGCTTTGGGAAAGCCACTAATAGGCCTGCATCACTGTGCTTCCTGCAACTCACTTTGGCTGGAAACAGTGAACCAGAGCAAATGGGAGCCTCAACGCTCCATGGCTATGGACCCTTTAGGTAAACAAAGTGGGAAAGCCACTAGTGGGCCTGCACCAAAGTGGACTGACAGAAAACTTTGATAAACACTGCTTAGATTTAAAAATCAACCTGAGGAACACTTTGAGAAACACTGATCTCAAGAATTGCTAGCTAACCTTCAGTTAAAGTATCTTTAATACTATCTGGAGCTGATGTGCAAATCAGAGCTATCCAATTTGCCTTCATAGCTTTAGTTTACAGGGGGGGGGTTTGTGTGTGTGTGTGTGTGTGTGTAAACTGCACATCTTTTATATGAAAGACCTAAATAAATAGTAAACATGAACCCCTAATGTCATACATTTTTTTTCTCTAACTTATCTTTTTATTTTCAGAATCACTTTTACAGTATAATCATGCTTTAAAAATACTATTAACTTACAGATAATAGTTGCTATACTGTCAGTGACTTCCACCATAAATTCCAGAATATTTTTGCTCCAAATTTTATCACATCTATGGCAGTTGAAAGTAACTGCCCGCATCTACACGCGGCAGTGAAACATGATACCGATTTAAAGCCCCTAAATCAAATTAGCTGGTAAACCTCATTGCAGAAGGAATACCAGCTAATTCGAGTTAGGGCTTTAAATCAGAATCCCGTTTCACTGCCGCGTGTAGATGAGGCAGTTACTTTGGGCTAGTCAATTTCTAAAATGGCAATTGGCCGGGAACATGTAAATCAAGCGCAGGATATTTAAATCCCGGGCTTAATTTGCAATTTCGGTCGCCTTCATTAGCCTCCCTAGATCGATCTAGGGAGCTAGTGTAGATGTACCCTGAGAGTCTATTATTTTTATTTAGTTTAGCTGTTTCCTTGAGGCTCTTTAAAGAGAACAATAGTTAAGATAGTGTTATCATCAAAATTCATTATTTGGAGATCATTTTGTGAGGGACAGAGGCCTTATCTCTCTTTGAGTCAGATGAGCCGACAGACTCACCAGATCCCCGAGCAAGGTGGGGGAGGGGCAGCTCCATGCTCCTGGAAAGGGCAAGGCCTTGGGTGGAAGGGACATCTTCAGAAGCAGACCGCCTGAGGCCACTGCTGTCCCTGCTGGTGGGCCTGCTTTGAGTAACTAGTCTGAGGCTATATTTTTCCCTCACAAAATGAATTGTGCCTCTGACTACATGATTTTAGCTTGTAAGCATGGAGTTAGAGATACACAATCAAATTACAGTACACATCTTTTTGGACGAAAATTGAGCCTGCAAAGGGAAAGTTATCCTTTTGAAAAATTTGACCCTCTATTCTTTTGAATTAATTTTTCCTTAACTTATCTATGTATTAATTTTGTAGTTAAAATTCTTTTGCACATTGTGCTGCAATACAAAGCAATTAAAATGTTTTAAATGTGCATTTTAAGCGATCTAGTTTTATGACAAGGTTATGTCAGGTTTTAAGTCATAATAAGTCAATAAAATGAGTCATGTACCAAAAACCAAGAAAATAAAGAACATGATGAAATGAAGCAGTAGTATCTTACTGGCAGCTTTTGTTTCTGCAGGGGGAGGAACCAAGTAAAACAAAAAGCATCAGTTAACTTGTCGAGGTATTATTTTTGTGAGCCATAGTGATTCGTCTTTTCTTATAAGAGTTTGTTTTAACAAAACTTTTGAAATGCTGCTTTACTATGTTTGGTTCTTTGAAATAGATGATGTAGAGCTTTATCTGATGCCATTAGGAGTCCTTCCATTTTTTTTTACTGGGCACTAGATTGAAATTTTGTCCATTTGAGCCTTGCTTTTAGTTAATAGCTATTAGATCCTTTGGGAAGCATCTCTCCTCACCATGCATATGTCATCCTCATCAATGTTAATATAAATTACAGGCCTGCATCAAAAAAAGGAAAGAATAGACCCCCACACTGTCTATACCATTATATATTTCATAGTAAAGTGATATGACAGAAAGATTCACTAACATTGCTTTCTTTATTTCAGGTTTCTTTTCTCCATGGAAAACTCCAAAGCCTGTAAGTTCTCTTTCAAAATTACACTCATTTAAATTCATATGATTTCTATCATTATAAAGCAAATTTCTTCAAGCTTTTATCTGACTATAGCCACAAATAACCTTACATTTACTTTTTCTCCACTACTGAATGGTTGACTTAAATGTTCAATAAATAGAATAGAATAGAATAGACAATCATAAGATTTAACCCTTTGTTATATAACTTAGTCTATTTTTATTTTTCAGTAAATTATTTAAGATAAAAAGTCAGTACCAAACATATTTCATTAACAGACATACATCAATTTTCCCCCTTCATAATCTGTCCTCCCCCCTCACACAAACACTTCTAAGAGAAGTAAAGTCTTATGAATTTATACATGAGTACTATTAATTATTAGGATAATTATTTCTGTAATTTCAGAAATGTAGTTGGTCATGAAGATATGAGGATACTTAACACATCATATAGGCAACAAAAATTCATCCTTCTAATTACTATTTAGAGAATATATGCAAGAGTGAATTTGCTTTCCAGTGTCAGCATTTATGTAATTATGTTATTGTGAAACTATGAAATAACGATTGCAGACAAACATATTTATTATATTGAGCCCCAGTTTTCCTACTATATCATATTGTTATAGCTGTGTCAACATTCCTAATATAAAAATATTTTCAACACTATGTGGGCTATTTCTGTTGTCTCTCTAGCTTGTCTAATTAGACCCTAAGTTCTTTGGGAGGTCCTATAAGTTAAAATCTAATAATAATAATAATAATATTGAATTTTCAAGCATTTATGGGTTGATCATCTGTTCTGTTTTTCATTATTGTCCCTGTTCATCTGGACATTCTCATAGTCTGTGAGATTGTATCACGGTACATTGAACAGCTCCTGAAATAACCTCTGGAGCTGGTGAAAGATCATTAGGAATGAGGTGAAGATTTGATGCAACTCCATCACATTGTTTCAATTTGTGATTATTTCAATGTAGTGTGCTAAAAATTGGAGTGTGCTGGCCTGAATCGCACTCATCAGTTTGTTCATTGATCTAAATAACATTAGTGACAAGTATAGTCTGGATAGAAGCACATTACACAAGCTCTTCTGAGAGTGAATGTTGTGGGAGGACGGACATTTTAAAATTTAAATAAAAACATGTTTGGATGCTTTCAAAATTCGTAAGTGCACTGTGTGCTTAAAAATAATTTAAAGCCGTGTTTGTAAAGAGCCGTTGGGAAGTGGGAGACCAGTTGCAGCATCTTGAACTTGGTACTGTGTAGGAATATGAAGTGCAAGTGTCTCCAAATAGTCCTGCCAGTGTATCGCAGTCTTGGCAAGCTTTATGTCAGTTCCTGGCCTTCTTTGTACAGAGAGCTATACTGTGTCGTATTCACTGTTTATGTGACATATTGTAGACAAATGTCTACTAGGAGTTTGCATAATAATGTCAATCTCATGTTGTTAGTGCTACAAGTCAGGATATAAATGTTGATCTTCAAAGGTGAAAAGTTAATGCATTAATTTTGCCATTTTAAAGCAGAAAGTTGGTACAGTACATGCAATACTTACGTATGAGATGAGGTGGGTGAGATAATATATTTTATTAGACTTCTGCTGATGAGAGAGATGAACTGTCCAGCTCTTCTTCTGTGTGTAAACTATGCTACGTCTAGACTACATGCCTCTGGCGACAGAGGCATGTAGATGAGGCTACCAGGCATAGGAAAATGAAGCGGCGATTTAAATAATCGCCGCTTTATTTAAATTTACATGGCTGCTGCACTGAGCCGATCAGCTGTTTGTCGGCTCAGCGCGGTAGTCTGGACACGCGGGTGTCGACATCAAAGGCATTTGTCGACCACCCAGGTAAACCTCATCCCAGGAGGCATACCTGGGTGGTCGACAAATGCCTTCAATGTCGACACCCGCGCGTCCAGACTACCGCACTGAGCCGACAAACAGCTGATCGGCTCAGCGCAGCAGCCATGTAAATTTAAATGAAGCGGTGATTATTTAAATCGCCGCTTCATTTTCCTATGCCTGGTAGCCTCATCTACATGCCTCTGTCGCCAGAGGCATGTAGTCTAGATGTAGTATATCTCTTTCACCAACAGAAGTTGGTTTAAATAAATATTACCTCACCCACCTTGTTTCACTAATATTCTCGGACAGACATGACTACAACACTGCATATATTATTTGTGGCATTTGGACAAAGAAAAAATGTTTCAATTGCCTCAGTCTGCTAAAGTTTGAAAACATTTCAATGTACTCAATAAGCAGAGTAGTTTTTCTGGTGCTGCATAAGAAACTGTCATCCCATCATTACCTGTGTTCTTAAACATAATTATATAATCTAAATAATTTGTTATATGTTTTACACAAATTTGATGCAATTATGAGATTTGGTATCATTATAGTAATTGCCTCAGAGTTTACTTTTAAACAACAATAAACCTATGTGACAAACTGATAAACACAAGAATTCATAGTTAAAGATCTAAATAATCCTCTTCTTGTGCCATCTGTCACCCTCTATAGATATCTATCAGCATTGCAGAATTTTGTCTGATGTTCCATTAAAATTTCCTAAGTCCTATCAATCTACATAATTACATGTTAATTACTATTGACATCAATAGTGAGTTTCTTGTGCTGGATGAGGGAATAAACAATTCTTGGAGCAATTTAATCCTTAGCATTTTGTGTATCCAACACAGTGCACAACAGTATTATAGACTGCATCATGCAGGGATACCTATTTGGCAGATACGTCACCATTCCAAAATGCAGTTATCTGTGTTGAAAATTGTTTAGTGTTTCATGGATCTTTCAGCTGGGCAGCATTTGATGCTCACCTGACCTGTTTTTATACCTTTTCAGCCAAATAAGAATGGAAAGCTTTGCTCAAACAAGATGTAGGTCAGTCTGGCAGTCAGTTCTGTGTAATGCCTAGGTTATATGGGCATCTCTTAGGTCCCACTGTCAGACCAACCCTCAATCAGATGCCATTTATATGAATGAGTGTGCATCCAGGTTGTTTTATAATTATTGGGGAACTACAAGACAGTATTTGTGATAATTAATTGATGTTCAACTTATGTCCAGCAAAATTAGATCATTATTGTTAAATCTGCCAATACCATGTTTGCCAAATATGCCATAACATTCATAGAATCAAAGAATCAAAGAACACTAGAACTGGAAGAGACCTCAAATCATCATCAAGTCCAGTCCCATACCCTCACATCAGGACCAAGCATCTTCTAGATCATCCCTGACAGGTGTCTATCTAACCTGCTGTTAAATATCTCTAGTGATGGAGATTCCACAACCCCAATAGGCAATCTATTCCAGTGTTTAACCACCATGAGAGGCAGGAAGTTTTTTCTGATGTCCAACCTAAACCTCCCTTGCTGCAATTTAAGCCCATTGTTTCTTTTCCTATCCTCAGAAGCCAAGAAGAACCATTTTTCTCTCTCCTCCTTATAAACACCCTTTTAGATACTTGAAAACCACTATCATGTCTCTCTTAGTCTTCTCTTTTCTAAACTAATCAAGCCCAATTCTTTCAGTCTTCCCTCATAGCTCATGTTTTCTAGACCTTTAATAATTTTTGTTGCACTTCTCTGGACCATCTCCAATTTCTCCACATCTTTCTTCCAGTGAGGGACATTGTTGCCATACAAGTCTTAAAGTCACAATAGTCAACTTGTCTTCATAGGGAGTCAGTCAGATCAGATCATTTAGTTTCTAGTAGAACTGCTCTTTCTCCTCATCAGAGTTAGTCATTGTCAGTGCTTAGGCTCTTACCGGTGATGCATAACATTCACCTTTCATGGAGAGTTGGAGCTTCGTCAATCTGTCATTTATACTGATAAATAGGCTCTCCAAAGGAGAAACAAGGTTCTTTCTAATTGCAGAACTATTTCCCATGATGCATGGGTCTTTCTGTGGGCATCCCTTCCATAAGTGTACCTAATGTTCTCCTCAGTCAGTTGATCCTCCTCAGCAAATTTCATCTATCCAAGTAAAACAATGATGATGCTGTGTTTTAAGCTACCAAACAACTAGAATGGTGCACCCAGCAGAACAGTCAGTTTGATTTGAAGGCTTGGGGAATTTATGGAGAGTCCATGTTGTAACATTGAGACAAAAAGAAACATTTCAAGGCTTATTTACATTTCAAACATATGATGGAACAAACTCCAGGTAAAGGCTGTTCAGGGCTAATCAAGATGAACTATGTTTAAGGCATGTTTTCTAGATTGAGACTGGTTGTGCTGTCTGTGAATAGAGCATTGGGGCAAATAGAGATACTGCTGAACTACAGTGTCACCCTGAGACAAGTCAACACACAGTGACCAACTTGTCTGTAAATTTATGGCTATGACTTCCGACAATATCCATTGCCTGTCACTTTCACTGTTTCCCCTTGCCACAGGGTTATTGGATTAGATTGTCAAAGGCTACACAGAAATTCATTTAAAATGGACAAGCAGTTGTGCATAAACTTGCACACACTCTCAGCCAGCAAGAACGTTTCCAGTGATGGGGTAAAGAACATAACACTGACCATACTGGGTCAAACCAAAAGTCCATCTAGCCCCGTCTTCTATCTTCCAACAGTAGCCAATGCTGAGACAAGTATAGGACTTGCTGGCTGCAGGTTTATTTTCAGCGTGTCTATCTCCTAGATCAATTTCAAGGCTAATGAACCTGGTCTGCCCAATCAGTGCTCTGTCAGCCAGGGTTTTTCAGAAGTAAATCATGTAGGCCTTCATGGCTGTAATAGCTGCATAGAGCAAATAGCTCACCAATCATACTTTGAGCTGAAAAGCAATCCCACTATCCCATCATATGGAGGAGGAGTTGGACTTGTGGGAGGCCTTTTTCAGACACTGCTTTTAGATCAATTTTATTTCTATCCATTTTCTCATTTTGAAAGATAGTTCTTTGTTTCTCTGGTTCTTTTCAAGAGATTAAGAACACAATGCAATTAGGGTTTATATTCCATATTTGTATATAGTCCTAAGTGTCTTTCTGTTTCAGAATGACAAAAGTTGTTTGATTTCACTAGTTTCTTTCCTCCATGAGGGCAGAACTGCATTAAATGCTCCGTCAACCAGAATTCAGACCGTTATTTTGCCTGATCACTAAGCACATTTATTAAATGAGGTCCCTGTGTGTCATCTTTCCTACATTGGAATAGGGTTTATTTTCAGGCTTTGTCTCTGCTAATCTTTGAAGTTAGACGTTCTTGACAAAAGGCAGGTGCAATTCTCTGTGATTCAGAAGAACGAAGCGCTGTAGAGAGCCCCTTTCTTGACCTGAATTCTAGTAGGCATAGTAGTCATTTCAAACAGCTTCCTTTCATCTTAATGAAAGTTTATCAGTTTCCTGCACTGAGCCTCATATACGACTCTTCACAAAGCACTTTGGTGTATGATCTATAGTACGGGTGGCAAATTTTCCTCAGAAATTGTTTTATTACAGTAAATAGTGAGTTTTGATTAAACATTTTTGTGAAAAGAGTCCACAGGAAAAAAATGGGTGGGGAGTTTGTGAAAAGAAAAGAACGCCCAAACCCAGGGCTGCTGTTGAAAGAACAAAGGGGGCAATTGTCCCAGGACCTGGCAATTTAAAAGGGCCTCGGGCTCACAGCCACTGCTACTACTACCTTGGCAGCAGCCAGAGCCCAGGGCCATTGGTCCAGTATGTTCTGGGGGCCTGAAGCTGGGGCCCCACTGAGCCTGGCAAAGTTTCAGCCCTGCTAAACCCCAAAACATTTTCCATTTTCTGAAATATTTCAATTCAGCTATAACACTGCTGTGTCTCATGGAATTTGTGATCTTTGTTACTTAATGTCCCCATTTTGCTCACAGACTGAGCTCCCCAACTGGACTGCATCTACCATAATACACCATTGCCAGAAACTCCCATAATGCACCACTTAATTCACCAAAATAGTAGACGACGGTGCCTCATGAGAGCTATAGGACAACCAAGAGCCCAGCTTATATAAGAGAGTGGGAGCTTGATACAGCAAAACCACAGCAGTAGCATTTCCAAAAAGTGAATTTCAGTTTTCAAGAGAAAAATACAAAACCCATTTTTGTTGTTTTCATCATTTTCTATGGGGGAAAATCCCTTCTCTGACCAGCACTAATTATTTGTGATATTTCAGCTGGATAGTTTCTGGCTAGAAGTCCGCTGCCTCCATATTTGTTGAACCCACAAAAACAGAGATTGATTCCTCTCTAGATGGAACAGAAGAGTGACATAGCACTGACTATCCAGGTTAGGAATACATGAAACATCTTGAAATGCTGCATGAATATGCCTTGCTGAAACGTTGGGCAATGGGTAGAGAAAGTCACAGTTTGCTGAACAATGACTTTCCCTGCCAATTTAACTATGTAGAAATGAGATATAAAGGATCAAGTCCTCAGCAGATATAAAACCTTGTAGCCCCACTTGACTCAAGATTTGTGTCCTGTTATGGAGAAATTAGCTCAGGTGTTTGAGATCATGAAAGACACTCAGGTTGAATGGTCACTAGGGCTACGTCTACTCTGGCCCCTTTTCCGAAAGGGGCATGCTAATTTTAAACTTCGTAATAGGGAAATCCGCGGGGGATTTAAATATCCCCCGCGGGATTTAAATAAAGATGTCCGCCGCTTTTTTCCGGCTTGTAGAAAAGCCGGAAAAGAGCGTCTAGACTGGCCCGATCCTCCGGAATAAAGCCCTATTCCGGAGGATCTCTTATTCCTACTTCAAAGTAGGAATAAGAGATCCTCCGGAATAGGGCTTTATTCCGGAGGATCGGGCCAGTCTAAACGCTCTTTTCCGGCTTTTCTACAAGCCGGAAAAAAGCGGCGGACATCTTTATTTAAATCCCGCGGGGGATATTTAAATCCCCCGCGGATTTCCCTATTACGAAGTTTAAAATTAGCATGCCCCTTTCGGAAAAGGGGCCAGTGTAGACGTAGCCTAGATGTATTTATTTAGGGAGTGCTCTTGACTCTGAAACTTTATTCCACGTACTATTGCTATGAAAAAGTATCCTGACTTCAGGATATATTGCAAAGCATATCTTTTAACCCAGATGTTTTCTGAGAGTGTGTGTGGAAAAAAGGGATGGTGTTGGTGTTCATAAATCAGACTAATTGTATAACTCCATTCAGTTGCCTTTGATACCTCTTGTACTAAGGGATTGCTGACAGAGTTTCAGTCCCTAGCAGAAATAGATAGATTGGCATTTGGGTGACCCTTTTTTAAGATTTGTGTACATTAGACTTCCTTTACTTGTATGAATTGATTGCCAATTAGCTTATGTCAGCTGACATGTTTGAACATGCTAGTCGAGGCATTTCATGAATGCTTACTCCATGCTGATGACATGTCTAGACTAGCACAAATGTGTTACATAACAGCTTCTTTAGTCTTTGCAGAATTCAATTTTTGGTTTTCTATCATTTCAATTAATAATATCAAAATTTATGGGTAAGCATTTTTAAATGTTATTGATTTTAATTTTCACAGTTGCAGGAAATTATGGGGCATAATATTTATTGATAGCAGATGCTGAGTATCAAAAAGTTAAATCTTTATAATAGTTAAAAGAGAAATTGTCAATATCACATGGTAAAATACATAAACTAAATAGCTATAAATCAAACTCTAAATTCTACAGAGCTGTTTTCTTAGCTGGCCTATATTTAAATTTCAATGATCACTGATGGAAATATTTTTTCACTGGTTTGTGAAATGGTGAAATTGACATTTGCCACTAAAAATATAATTCTTCAAAGCCTAAACTTAATTAGTAATCAGTGTTTGAGGTAAATAAAAACTCTAGTGCAAATATATCTTTAGAGACACCAGAAGATAAATTCCAAGAGCTAACACTGCATCCTATATTATCCTCTTCCTGTTCACTGTGTATTTGAGGCCTGGTCATTAGGATATAAGTGTCCATGAGGATCCCTGGACTTCAGTGCCTTCAACGTATGGCACCCTACTGTATATCTCCATCTTGTCTCAAGTGTTTGGAGGAACCAGAAGATTTTCTAGCCCTTACAAAATAAATGTATATCTACCACATGTTGTAACTGAAGCCATTTTCTCTACAGTATTTAAACTAGTCACAGTATGGTGAAAAGATGTTTAATCTTTTTTTTTTTTTTGTATCATTTATTATAGATGATGGAGCGATGGGAGAATCAAGGCAGCCCTCAGACCAGTTTATCTGCTCCAGTTATACCACAGAGTATTCCCTTTCCACCCACCCTTCACAGGAGTTCGTTTCCTGATTCAACAGAGGCCTTTGACCCAAGAAAACCTGACCCATATGAGCTATACGAGAAGTCAAGAGCTATTTATGAAAGTAGGCGTAAGTGAAAGTGCTGTTCACCCTGCTGAGCATTTAATAATTGTAAGCATTTGCCTATGAATGTGTCAAGGCTGACATATTTTACATAATTATATCTATTGTAGTTTAAAGTAACCCAGACATGAATCCAATTACTGCATACTATTACAAATGATTCAAAGTCTACCTTGATACATTTATTCTAAAATTGTCTAAATTTTACATATTTAAGTTTCAACTTTTGTACAAGTATGTTTTCTTGCTATTTCCCCTCCCCAGTTCCAAGTCTTAAGTCCTCATAGAAGAACAATCTACATCAAAGTATCTTCTTTGTAAGTTAACTGACAAGGTGATGCAAATTTAACATTAAATTATTCTGCTTATTCTTAACCTTAGATTGAAGTATAAAAATGAAACTTCTGGTTGGTTGGTTTGTTTTACATACAGTGACTTTCTGCTTGTTATTATACTATACCTGGCTGTTAAAAATTCACTAACATGTAATATCTGAAGATATAGAGAAAACAAAACTATCTCCAAGATTCATATCATTATTTTCTTTTTTCATGTTTTTAAGGAATTTATTGCATGTATTCCACATCAAGGCATGTCTACACTAGGAAATTATTTCAAAATTATTTATTTTGAAAAAATAACTCCTGAAATAACTATTTCAAAATAGCATGTCCACACTACAGAGAAGCCTCAAAATTAGTCCAAGGCAGGCTCCCTTAATATGAATGTGCTACCTCTACTTAGAGCCCCAGAAAGCACCAGGAATTAATTACTTTGAATGATGTTGGGTACTAGTTATTTCAAAATAGCATCAGTGGAGCATCCACACTATCGCTATTTCGAAATAGCTATTTTGAAATAAGCATTATTCCTCATGGAAAGCAAGAATTATTATTTAAGACTAACAAGCCCATTATTTTGAAAGAACGGGCTTGGTAGTGTGGACGTTCTGCTTATTATTTTGAAATAAGGGGAGTTATTTCAAAATAACTCCCTAGTGTAGACCAGGGCCAAGGGAAAAAATATTCTATATATATATTCTCCTATAAAGTTTTACATTAAAATTATATGCTCTATGTAAACTAGAGCTCTTAAATTAAGAACAAATTTTAAATATTATGTGTTATTCTTTACATTTTTGTTCTTACAGTAATTATCTTATGCTTGTATTTAAAGCACCTTTCTCTTTGAAGGCTCTCCAACTAATAAATAAATTATGGGCAAAATATTGCACTGAATTACATTGGTGTAGATTCAGATTAGCTACCTTGGCATCAGTTTGACCCTGTGTACTGGAGATAGGCCTAAGGCAACAAAGTTCAGATTCAGAAACAGACTTTTACAAAGGCTGGGAATGCCTGATTTAGTTTTGTTTCAAAACCACGTCTACTATATATCACTATAATAAGTGAATTATTTCAATCACTGTTGTTATAAAGCCACTCTGAAATGAAATGTGATAATTTATTAAATCTGTGTTTAGAACATTACATACAAATACCTGAATTATCAGAAAGAGAAAACAAGAATAAAATCTATATCATTTTCTAATAATTGTGTCAAAGTACCCCAAAGTAACCCTGTCTTTATCTAAAAATCAGTGATCTGGAAATAAGATGGACATTTCTCAAGCATACAGCATAATTACTGACAAGGATAATCTGAACTAAATTCCTTATCCTTCTACTCAGCATACTATGACACTCTCCCATCATTCTTTATCATTGTGTCACTTTGTCACCATTCTCCCATCATCCAGGCCCATAACCTGGGAATTATCTTTGACAATTCTCTCTCCATTAAGTACATTCCCAAGCTAGGCCCAAATCTGGCTACTTCTTCCATAATAACTTATCTAAGAATCTACATAATCTTTCTACCCACACTGCTGAAACGCTGGCATGGACCATAAACCTAATCTTCTCTGGCCTTTCTTATGCCTTTCTAATGCCCACATCACACTCTTCCACTCCATTCAAAATGCTGCTGCCAAAACCATTTTCCTCACCAGTCATTCTATATGTATTATCCCCATCTCAGATGCCTCTACTGGTTATCCCTTTTTTCTAACGTATCAAGTTCAACCTTTCAGGGTGTTTCACATTTCTACCCTTCCTTTCCTTTCTGTTCTTGTTTTTTATCACCCCTCTTCCCACCCCTTCCACTCAGCTAATGATGATAGCTTTGACTGCTCACTGCTCTGCTCCTCCAAAGTACCCTCTTTAACTTTCTTCCATATAGCTCCAAATGCACATTACCCTCTCTCCACCAATTTTCTCCTCCATGTAATCTATTTCTTCAGTGTCACCTCCAATAAGCTAGCCTATTAGTAATGAGCAAGGTAGGTGGTCTTTGGATATAGTTGAGTAATTATTACACAAAGTTACAGACAGTGGGATGATAGACATGTAATGGAGTGGTGAGTTGGCCAAGTGTATAGAAGATTATACGTATTTCGACTGTGTCTTTCTCCCCCACTCTTTGATTGAGATTTTTCACTCAGGCTATGTCTACACTGCAGCCTTTTGTCAGCAGAGACAATGCAAATGAAGTTCTCATTAGCATTGGTCATGCCGTCATTTGCATATTCTCTGCTGATGCTTTTTGCACAAGAGATTTTTGCGCAAAAACAAGCAGTATAGATGGGGCCATTTTGTGCAAAAAACCCTTTTGTGTAAGATCCTGTCTACCTCCTTTTTTGAGCCATAAGGGATCTTGTGCAAAAGGTTTTTTTTGCGCAAAACAGCCCTGTCTACACTGCTTGTTTTTGCACAAAAACCTCTTCTGCAAAAAGCATCAGCAGAGACTATGCAAATGACAGCATGACAAATGCTAATGAGCACTTCATTTGCATTGTCTCGGCCGACAAAAGGCTGCAGTGTAGATGTAACCTCAGTTATGGCCCTTTTTGTGATTCTACAGCCAGTAAAGAATATCTCAAATACAGGCCTTGCATAGGATCATGGAATATCCTGTGTACTCTCTCATATAACCCCCTTGTATTCAGGCATGTAGCGCTTTGAGCATTCTTAGTAGCCCATCAGTAATCTTGGAGTTTGAAGCCACATTTGTTCCCTTTTAGCCAACATTGCAAGAGACACAGTGTAGAATTCTTCTTCATGGGTGCTCCGCTGGTGTCAGGCTCATTACGGTGCCACAGCTCAGAGATTTCGAATAGCTGTGGTCAGCTGGGTCGCACATGTGCGATCAACAGCTTGTACCATTCGTACTCTTTGATCGTTGTGCTCACCCAGCTCCCTGCTCAGTTCCTCTCAACTGTCCTCGGCCACAGACAGAGCTCTTATCTCCTCAACCTTTCTTTCAATCTCCTCAGGAGAACTGTAAAAAAAAAAAAAAAAAAAAAAAAGCAGCAGCTTTTAATTTAGTTGTAAATAGGTTACCCCCTTGTTACTCAACATTTCTTTTCTTATTAAAAAAAAACCCCAAATGATCGTTAACAAGTGATTTAAACCGCGGCTTCCTGGTCAGCCAGTAGCGGCTTTAGCCTCAGGCTGAAATTGACCAGAAACTTCACTAATCTAAGGATTCCTGGATCCCCAGGTTTTAAAAAGTGCACCCTGTGTAGAGAGCCCATGCCTGTGTAGAGAGCCCATCCCCCAAAAATGCAGGCACTGCTTGAAACTGACAGCCCACTCCCGCCGGGACAGAGATATGCACCTGAAAATGTTACTGTTTGATAAAGTGCTGGACCCAGACTCTTCTGCAGCAAAACAACCAGGGGAGAAGCAGAAAAAAAAAAGAGTCTCCTCCACTGAGCCAGCTGCACAAAAGAAAAGAAAGCTGTCCCCTGCGCGCTCATGGCTGCCTGATCCTACAAATAGGATCAGCTCAGGAGATAAGCCAGGGGCCTCCGGCTCTGCCCCGTAACCCTTGGTGCCGGGGTCAGAGGCAAAAACAAGGAAGACGACAGCCCCAGAGAGATCTCTCTCAGCGCCGAAGGCAGCTTCAGTGCTGACGAGCGGCACCTGCGCTTTAAAGCCACCGGCACCACACCATTCAACACCGCGTGCGGTGCTGGAGCAAAGGCCTCTCTGCAGTGGGATCGGCACCGAAGGGGACTCCGCCAGCACCGACAAGCAAGCTGGCTCTGATGCCAGCACCACAGGATGATCCTATGGTGTAAACCGTGGCAGCACCGGCAGAAAAAGCAGCAGAGCTGCTAAACAGGCAGGAGCTGGCACCAATAGAGAAGCTGGCACCAGCACAGCTAAAGCGACTGGCAAAACACAGAGACAGGGGAATACCCATTCCCCGTCTCCAACATTCTCACCAGGTCCCTCCCCCTCACCTCTACTATACCAGTCACCACTTCAGCAGGTTTACCGCCAGGACAGTCCAAGACATCACTACTATGACAGGTCTCACTACTCGTCATACAGATCTCGCTCTCATTTCCATGATCACTACAGGAAACGATCCTACTCTCCGCCACACAAGCAGTCACCACATTACTCTTATTCTCTGCATTGATCCTGCATGCCGGTTATGACAGGCGATATCCAAGTTGCAGATCGTCCAAGTACTCGTCACCTCACCCATCTGACCGATACTATGACCACTGTCATGACTCTCCTTATTCTGTGCGTCATTACTATCACCAGTGCACACGTCACCAATCTCCTCGCTCTGATCCACTGCCAGCGCAACATACACCACCGTAGTTCCCACATAATCACCAGATGACCCCTCCTGTATGCAGTCCAGGTGCAACCAAACAGTAGTCTGAGACTGAAGAAGGCCAATTGTCGGAAGTGGAGGACCAACAAACGGATGTCCCAATTCCTGACCTTTCGTCTTCCTCTCCTGATGAGCTGGTGTTCCCAGTGGATATGTCTCCTCCGGACGACTTCAAACAGTTTCAGGACCTTTTCAAATGGGTGGCCCAGTCCCAGTAGGTCCAATCAACAGAGGTGCAAATGAAGCAGTATCGGCTTTTGAAGAATCTTCACCCAAGACGGAGTGCAAAAGTTGCCATTCCTATCAAC